AACAGAACAATACCTGGTAGACAGACTTTTCGCTATTACAATAATAGAGGCTCATAGTATCAAAGAACACTGCAGAAACCAGGAGTATGAAACGCTCAGTTTGAGTCTGTCTCAGTCTCAGTCACTGCGTTCGGCAGTTCAAGTTCAAATACAATGAAGTTTGCACTCATATATACATAAGGCACTAAGTACTTGGCTGAAAACTTGGAAAGATTTCGAAAATATTAGAAATATCTTCGCCTATAATTGTTGGAATTATTTTAACGTAAAATGTTCTCTGATTGGACTATCGATGTGCATATCCCAGTCCCGAGAGTCTCTTCTTTAGCACAGGAACGTAGGCCTGAAATAGCAAGGGTGAAAACTAGACTTTGATGTAGGCTAGTGTACATTCTTGCCTCGGGAAAATGGTCAACGTCGCATTCAGTAACATCCAAGCTTGTCACGGTGCCTGGAAATAAAGGGGTACGGCGAACCAGTGACTGAACCAATAAGTAACATGCAGAAAGCATGTGTGTGTTGGTGTTTTCACTGTGTCACGGCGTTCTTTATCAGGAGAACCAGGGGTCAATATGGGAGACATTATTAATCTACACATGCGATACAGCGCGTTCTCTAAATAAACGAGGTGGTGGCTAGGTAGCCATTGGGAATACAGCAGATTCCGCGAAACACAGATCCACATTACCTCCTACTTGTCCCCCAACAGATTCCGGGTAGCACAGATCCCCATCACTTCCTACTTGTCCCCAAATAGATTCCGGGTAGCACAGATCCCCATCACCTCCTACTTGTCCCCAAACAGATTCTGGGTAGCACAGATCCCCATCACTTCCTACTTGTCCCCAAACAGATTCCGGGTAGCACAGATCCCCATCACCTCCTACTTGTCCCCCAACAGATTCTGGGTAGCACAGATCCCCATCACTTCCTACTTGTCCCCAAACAGATTCCGGGTAGCACAGATCCCCATCACCTCCTACTTGTCCCCCAACAGATTCTGGGTAGCACAGATCCCCATCACTTCCTACTTGTCCCCAAACAGATTCCGGGTAGCACAGATCCCCATCACCTCCTACTTGTCCCCCAACAGATTCTGGGTAGCACAGATCCCCATCACTTCCTACTTGTCCCCAAACAGATTCCGGGTAGCACAGATCCCCATCACCTCCTACTTGTCCCCCAACAGATTCTGGGTAGCACAGATCCCCATCACTTCCTACTTGTCCCCAAACAGATTCCGGGTAGCACAGATCCCCATCACCTCCTACTTGTCCCCCAACAGATTCTGGGTAGCACAGATCCCCATCACTTCCTACTTGTCCCCCAACAGATTCCGGGTGGCACAGATCCCCATCACCTCCTACTTGTCCCCCAACAGATTCCGGGTAGCACAGATCCCCATTATCTCCTACTTGTCCCCCAACAGATTCCGGGTAGCACAGATCCCCATTACCTCCTGCTTGTCCCCAAACAGATTCCGGGTAGTACAGATCCCTATTACCTCCTACTTGTCCCCCAACAGATTCCGGGTAGCACAGATCCCCATTACCTCCTTCTTGTCCCCCAGCAGATTCCGGGTAGCACAGATCCGAATCACCTCCTACTTGTCCCCCAACAGATTCCGGGTAGCAAAGATCCCTATTAACTCCTACTTGTCCCCCAACAGATTCCGGGTAGCACAGATCCCCATCACCGCCTACTTGTCCCCCAACAGATTCCGGGTAACACAGATCCCCATTACCTCCTACTTGTCCCCCAACAGATTCCGGGTAACACAGATCCCCATTACCTCCTACTTGTCCCCCAACAGATTCTGGGTAGCACAGATCCCCATTACCTCCTACTTGTCCCCAAACAGATTCCGGGTAGCACATATCCCCATTACCTCCTACTTGTCCCCCAACAGATTCAGGGTAGCACAGATACCCATCACCTCCTACTTGTCCCCCAACAGATTCCGGGTAGCACAGATCCCTATTACCCCCTACTTGTCCCCCAACAGATTCCGGGTAGCACATATCCCTATTACCTCCTACTTGTCCCCCAACAGATTCCGGGTAGCACAGATCCCTATTACCCCCTACTTGTCCCCCAACGGATTCCGGGTAGCACAGATCCCCATCACCTCCTACTTGTCCCCCAACAGATTCCGGGTAGCACATATCCCTATTACCTGTAACTTGTCCCCCAACAGATTCCGGGTAGCACAGATCCCCATTTCCCCCTACTTGTTCCCCAACAGATTCCGGGTAGCACAGATCCCCATCACCTCCTACTTGTCCCCCAACAGATTCTGGGTAGCACAGATCTCCATTACCTCCTACTTGTCCCCCAACAGATTCCGGGTAGCACATATCCCTATTACCTCCTACTTGTCCCCAAACAGATTCCGGGTAGCACAGATCCCCATTACCCCCTACTTGTTCCCCAACAGATTCTGGGTAGCACAGATCTCCATTACCTCCTACTTGTCCCCCAACAGATTCTTTGTAGCACAGATCCCCATTACCTCCTACTTGTCCCCCAACAGATTCTGGGTAGCACATATCCCTATTACCCCCTACTTGTCCCCCAACAGATTCCGGGTAGCACAGATCCCTATTACCTCCTACTTGTCCCCCAACAGATTCTGGGTAGCACAGATCCCCATTACCTCCTACTTGTCCCCCCAACAGATTCCGGGTAGCACAGATCCCCATCACCTCCTACTTGTCCCCCAACAGATTCTGGGTAGCACAGATCTCCATTTTCTCCAACTTGTCCCCCAACAGATTCCGGGTAGCACATATCACCACTTCGTAAGCTATCGACCACTGCCTTGTCTGGTCCAGTCTTAATCAAGTAAAAGTTACCTCTGACGGTACGGAAAAACAACACTCACTCACAGACTATCATCATCTCATAAACACAGCCCATTATTCCCATTCATGGAACTCAGAAGAAGTGCCTTATCGCATGTTATACATGATTCCTGCCACGTGTCTTGAGATCGTGTGAAGATTATCGTTACATGGATTCCAAATATACACACTGACACAGATTACTAAAGTCTTTAGATAACATAACCACGTGACAGACGATTAAGCGCAAGGTGGGCTCTACCCTCGTTGTGGGACCGGACATCGTAGGCTGTTGTTCAACGCCGCACTCAGCAACATTCCAGCTGTAGGACGGCGGTCTGTAAATAATCGAGTCTTGACCAGGGAATCCAATGATTAACATCTTGAGCATCAATCTATGCAATTGAGATACGATGACATGCATCAAACAAGTCAGCGAGCCTGACCACCCAATCCTGTTAGACTTATGACAAGCATGGGCTGCTGAAGACCTATTCAAACCTTGATCTTCACGGGTGGAAAGCCGAAGGTATTCAAGGACAATGTACCTATGGCGGTTACTCGCGTGTTTTGGACAGGAATATATATTTTTGCAGTGTCATTTTGAAGAGGGCATTAGTTTTTCAAAGTAAAGCTTCTTGAAATGGCTATATATTTTTACCATAGGGTTGGCTTTCTTTATTATTCCAATCCGCATTGAAACGTTTTCAAGCTACCTTGGTCTTGTCGATTTCTTGAATACACATAATACTTCCTATACTGCAAAGTCATATAATCCTTATCAATATAATCATTATTCATTTCACTAAGCAGTAATTACGTTTGAGTATATAAGTATATATATACTACTGACAACAATAAGGGAACTAATGATTTGAATGTACACAATCTTTGAGGTGTACATACCATGGCGTTGCATCTCAACACAACATCTGATCACAATGAAATTTCACATCGTGCATGAACAGCACGTGTTGCACGTGAACACAGAAGCCAACGTGTGTGCGCCTCTTGGGAAATTCACAATCACTAACGCAAATTTGAGCTGAACACACTCTTTAAAAATGACCACCGGAAGTATCTCAATGAACAGACAAAATGGCGAATTGTGGGTACGATAGAGGGGGGCGTCAACATTGTCAAGTTGCCCGAATGTTTGGCCAATCCAAAAGTGTAGTTTCTCGACTGTGGGACAAGTACCATCAAACAGGTGGGGTTGCAATGAGACCTGGGCATGGCAGGCCCAAAACACGACAAGATCGTTTAAATAATTTATTTGCACTACCCAACAGATTCAAATTTGCTCATAGTATCAATAGAGAATTCCTGCTGCAATAACAGGTAGGCAAATTTCAACATCTACCGTTAAAAACCTTCTCTATGCAGCTCGCCTGAAATTCAAGGCGTCATGTGAAGGGTATGACAGTTGACCATAGGCAGCAAAGATTGGGGTAGTCCAGGCAACACCAGGGACGGGATGTTCGCGAGTGGCTTGACACCATGTTTACACGACGAATCAAGTGTGTTTGTTTGTTTGTTGTTTAACGCCACACTCAGCAATATTCCAGCTATATGACGGCGGTCTGTAAATAATCGAGACGAATCAAGGTTTTGCCTCTGATTTACAGATAGCAGAAAACGTTGTTGTCGACGTAGCGGCGAGCGGTATGCTGCACTCACCAATATTCCAGCTGTGTGACGGCCGTCCGTAAATAATCGTGTCTGGACAAGACAATCCAGTGATTGGCATCATGAGCATCGATCTACGCAGTTGGGATACGATGACATGCATCTACCACGTCAGCAGGCCTCACCACTCGATCTCGTTAGTCAACTCCTACAACAAGCATAGTTGCCTTTTACGATAAGCTTGGGTTGCTGAATACCAATTCTAAACCGGATCTTCACGGATTGATCTGCAAGGTGACAATGCCAGACCACATATCGCCCCAAATGGTGGACACACCATATATATATATTGATCTACATGCCCGAAATTTATTTTACAGACACTTGCACCACACTCTTCAATATCAATGCATCAGTGTCGGTAGTATATAACCGTTACTTTTGCTTTTGAGTATACAAGAAATTTGAAATACAATTTTAACACTAAGGTCAGATTACGCGCATGAAGTTGAACTATAGGCTTATATCTTTTGAATAAAACAAGCAGGTTATGTGTAAAGGATTGGTCTGTGCAGATACTTAAGGAGTTGACGACAGCCTGACTCAGATCAGTATCACTAGTACCGACATGAGAGCAGTTCTTTTCCTCGTCTTTGCTTCAGCGCTGCTTCTAGCGGCTGTTGGTGAGTACCACGTGTCTTGTTCACTCTTCTCTCCACTTGTGACATTGTCCAATCGACATATGGTAGAAACTACCAAACTTAATTCGAAATGTATGATTCATCATGTACGAGAATGTGTTATGAGGTTGATTTTTGGATAAATCGGTCGAGCAATGCTTTTGCCACGACCAAGATAGTGTACAGCCATGACGACGCATGTTCCATCCCACTTCCCACATGGTATATGTATCTGAATGCAATACTTGTCACTATTTAAGTTACCGAGCTCAAAATTGTGTCGCCATACAAAAACATATCATTTTAAGAAATCTGATAATAATCATAATCTTCGAAATATCATGTGTAAAATACACTTTCATCGAAGGTGGTACCCCATTAATGTCATTGACGTCTATCATTGTCAGATGCCCAAAGCTGTGGCCGATTTGACAGATGTTTGACGGGCAGAATCTGTGACCTTGAGTGCCCCGGATGTAACGGACGTACTGTTTGCCACCACCAGGGACCTTTCATCGGACACTGCGTTTGTGAAGGGTGAGTTAAAGTTGAACAGACAGACTTCGTTTATCCGGCCTATCTGGTCATCCAGTAGTATATGTAACAGATACGATTACCAGTTACATGAAATATTAGATAGTAAGTTGTTTAGATTTTCTGCAAGAGTGAGTGCCACCTAGCAGGACATTTCATCGGACACGGCGTTTGTCCAGGGTGACTTTAATAAAATAGGTCAAGCTCGCTGACGTTGACGAGGCCATACTCTTGGACCAATAACAGTAAACAACATAACGTAAATCAAACTATAAATACAATATTGTATATTAAAAAAGGAGTTGAATGAAGCCCAAAAATTCAATATTAGAACAATCAGATGACATAATTTACAGTTTCAATGAGAGGCGGTCGAGTAGCCCAGTGGGTAAAGCGTAAGCTGGTTACGCCCAAGACACGGGTTCGATTCCCGACATGGGTACAATGTGTTAAGCCTATTTCTGGCGTCCCCCGACGGGATATTGCTGGAATAGTGCCAAAAGTGGACTGCAGGGTTTAATGTTGTAGAGAGTATAGGGCTGCGGGGTTTTATGTTGTAGAGAGTATAGGACTGCGGGGTTTTATGTTGTATAGAGTTAAGGACTGCAGGGTTTAATGTTGTATAGAGTATAGGACTGCAGGGTTTAATGTTGTAGAGAGTATAGGGCTGCGGGTTTTTATGTTGTACAGAGTATAGGACTGCGGTTTTTATGTTGTACAGAGTATAGGACTGCAGGGTTTCAAGTTACTCGGAGTATAGGACTGCAGGATTTAATGTTGTAGAGAGTATAGGGCTGCATGGTTTAATGGTGTAGAGAGTATAGGACTGCATGGTTTAATGGTGTAGAGAGTATAGGGCTGCATGGTTTAATGGTGTAGAGAGTATAGGGCTGCATGGTTTAATGGTGTAGAGAGTATAGGGCTGCAGGGTTTCATGGTGTAGAGAGTATAGGGCTGCATGGTTTCATGGTGTAGAGAGTATAGGGCTGCATGGTTTAATGGTGTAGAGAGTATAGGACTGCAAGGTTTAATGTTGTAGAGAGTATAGGGCTGCATGGTTTAATGGTGTAGAGAGTATAGGGCTGCATGGTTTAATGTTGTAGAGAGTATAGGGCTGCATGGTTTAATGGTGTAGAGAGTATAGGGCTGCATGGTTTAATGGTGTAGATAGAATAGGGCTACAGGGTTTAATGTTGTAGAGAATATATAGGGCTGCATGGTTTAATGGTGTAGATAGTATAGGGCTACAGGGTTTAATGGTGTAGAGAGTATATAGGGCTGCATGGTTTAATGTTGTAGAGAGTATAGGGCTGCATGGTTTAATGGTGTAGAGAGTATAGGGCAGCATGGTTTAATGGTGTAGATAGTATAGGGCTACATGGTTTAATGGTGTAGATAGAATAGGGCTACAGGGTTTAATGTTGTAGAGAGTATATAGGGCTGCATGGTTTAATGGTGTAGAGAGTATAGGGCAGCATGGTTTAATGGTGTAGAGAGTATAGGGCTACAGGGTTTCATGTTATAAAGAGTATAGGGCTGCATGGTTTAATGTTGTAGAGAGTATAGGGCTGCATGGTTTAATGGTGTAGAGAGTATAGGGCTGCATGGTTTAATGGTGTAGATAGAATAGGGCTACAGGGTTTAATGTTGTAGAGAGTATATAGGGCTGCATGGTTTAATGGTGTAGATAGTATAGGGCTACAGGGTTTAATGGTGTAGAGAGTATATAGGGCTGCATGGTTTAATGTTGTAGAGAGTATAGGGCTGCATGGTTTAATGGTGTAGAGAGTATAGGGCAGCATGGTTTAATGGTGTAGATAGTATAGGGCTACAGGGTTTCATGTTATAAAGAGTATAGGGCTGCATGGCTTTATATTATACAGAGTGTAGGATTGCAGTGCAGGGTTTCATATTTTTTAGCTGCAGGGTTTCATTGCAGGAGAAAATAACACTTGTCAGAGAGTTCGAAATGTCGGTCCAACAAAACATGCAGATAATTTAGTTCAACATTTTATTCTGTTTCAGAACAACGACACAGAGCAGTTCGTAGTTTGGTTTGGGGAATAAATAAACTCCAACCTGTGATGTGCATTGACTATTTATTCAGATGTACTGCAAGTAGGCAACATCTTCATTACGGCATGTTCTTGGGGCCAGGAAGGATTTTGTTCAACATCAGAAACACATTGTTGACTTGTAAGGAAGTTCGTGTAAAGATGGTAGATATGTGTGGCGATGGTTAGCGCGGTGTGCATGGGAACGAATGAAAGAATATCAAAATAAGTCAGTTCGCAATGTGCCCACAAACACTTATCAATTGTGTCTGGGTTTTACTAAATACTTGCATAGTTATACCATTTTCATTCCAAGTCAGACATTAGAAAATGATTTCAACGGCAACAAAAGTGACACAACGTAAATATTCATCATTGCAGACGTTGAGTGAGCAAAGGTCCCTCCTAAAACTAAAATCCCGCCATTAGTTGAGGAAGATTAGGTTACAACCAAACGTTTCAGAGAGTGGGTGAATTAAGAACTGGCTTTTGTGAGTTCATTGGAGTGAGCCTTCAAAGACTGAGAACAGAGCTTTATGAACGTCGGAAAATGTAGAAATAGTCCATGGGTGTGTACTTCATTTATAGAATACATTTTAAGAATAATATTGTGTAAATATGTATGAACGTTTAAAATGTGTCGTTCATATGAACGTCGTGACCAGCCTCTCGTCCAATGGAAAAAAGCCGCATATTGTGTAATATCCACATTAAACTATTCGTTTTCAGCCATATTCAACCTATATCGTACGCGCCCATATCATAGGAGGGGCTCAGGGAAACTGCCATGACTAGCTGACATTTGTGTCGTCAGGTGTGGCCTTCACTGGTTTGTCTAGGAACACCGAAGACAAGACCAGTATGATATAGGGTTCCAGAAACTTCGATCTGTCGTTAACATTTCAACATGTCAACAAAGACACGTTGTCAGCATTGATTTAAAATATTTTTGCATAAATACCTGGGGCTAAAACTATGATTAAAATCGAATGATCCGAACAAAATATGATATAATCATAAAAACAACCTCGTGGACAAATTCTGGCGTCATCACTGGTGTGAACTGGTGTGAACTGGTGCGAAGTTTCAGCTTCACCAATCCAGTGCTTTCTAATGAGACGCTGATAAACTGTATTTCACAAGTTCAAAGACAAATATGTTTGATGAAAATATCGCCAAACAATGGAACATAGGTGTTCAGCCTCACTACTAACTGCACACATCCCCAATTCCATCACATTTGGAACAAAAGTGGCAGTGTACTGGACATAGGAAGAATGTCCAGTATGTCCATGTTTTATTTGGAACAAAAGTGGCAGTGTACTGGACATAGGAAGAATGTCCAGTGTGTCCATGTTTTATTTGGAACAAAAATGAAATGAGTAATCGTTGTATCAATATGGCTGTTGTCGTTTGCCATGTTCATTGGGGTTTGGTGGCTTCAGGGTTCAGAGTAGCCTTGATTACCTTACCCCCTTATATTTTATAAACGTCCAACTTACAGAAACACATTTGAACCTTACCCACATGTGACCACTTTGCATGAAGATGAACTATACTGCTGTAGTTATTCCCAGGTGCGTGTAATCGGCCTGTGTGCTCTGGGGGTCAGCGCCGAGGTCTTTATACTGTTATTCCACGTGCTTCACATGCTCCCTGCTGCAAACACCGGTTAGTGTTACACCTTCGAGACACGCTCTTGAAAGATCCCCAGCTTATACGAAAAAACCTTTGTTTTGTCCGCACGATTGGTGTAAGCAGGATAAGTCAATTTGAGACCGGTGATTATGGATGTGAAGATAACGGAAATCTAATCTTATTACATGTGTTTTTGTTTCTTGTTGTTTAACGCCACACTCAGCAATATTCCAAACATGGGACAGCGGTCTGAAAATATTCAAGTATGGACCAGACCGTATTCAGTATTTGATATCATGAACATCGATCCACGCATCCAGAATTTGTTTGGTTAAATTATACTTATAAAACATTATAAAAAGGAGCACAGAGACTTACTGCAGTATATAGACATGCCAAATATTATAGACTTGCATGGGCTGTATGGGCTGTATTTGTTTCAGGGTCTGTATGCCAAATTAACACCCATTTGACTCCATCGCAGTTAATATTAGGAAGTATAAGTGTAAGTTTCACTTATGTAACTTCTCATATTAATCAGTTAGAAAGCATTTCACAGAAACAACCTATTCTTTTCAAGTGAACTAACAACATTGTACAAGGGAGTGACACACAAATTGCAATATCAGAGATGAAACGGCCTAAAAAATAACGTTATTTCTCGCAACGCCAATGGTCGTCATTCACTGGCATAGGATCCGTTTTTCAGTCGTGCCATTGAGTGGATTTAACCGTCATCCCTCAACGTTGGAGGTACCTGTTCATGTAAAATCCCGAACAAATAAAATAATGGGAGGGGGTGTACTTAACACGTTATGGTCTAAATCGCCAACAATGAGCGTTTGTTTCAGTCTGACCTGCATTCCACAGATACCTGCAGTCATCAGAGACACCGCGACTCTAGTAGGGGTCCTGATCATAGGTTATATACAACATAAGTACATGACCCGCCGATAGCATCTCGCCCCGTAACGCTACACCCCATCACAATACACGGAAAAATAGCGGGATTCAAATAATCGTCCATCTTGTCCTTATCGCCTCGTTTTGAGGTATCGGTTGAAGCATGTTAACGTCTTTGTAAGATAATTCTATTGAATGGTTTTAAGTGTCGTAATATTACGACCGTGATATTAAAGATTTATTCCCCTGGATTACATTTAATCCTGTTTGATCACCGATACTGTTCATACATTGTGATGGCAAGTATGACGATGTAGGGGTCTGGATTGAATGAATATTAAGATAAGAATTTTGGTGGTAACTGACACGTGCTAAATAGAAAAATAAACACTTTGGACGACAAAACCATTCAGATGTTTTAGATTGAACATATGCACGACATGAGAGGGAGTTTTCAATTCGTCGCGAGATCAGCATGTTCTATAGATAAGGGAACGGTAACGAAAACACGAGGTTGTAGCTGCACCTGGGGAGCATCCCAGCCGCGCGCATCTGTATACTATACCACGAAGATTGTCACATACGACACAGCCACTACTGCAAATGTCCACACGAGGCAGTGAACCCGCCATCACCTGTAATCAGTGGCGTGCAAGATCTGCCTCGTACAGAATACTTGTCCGAGTTCCGCCAGGTATAATGTCTCCATGTATACCATTATACCAGCAATTAATATCGTACAGTCAGCTCGTAATGTGTTTTTACTTACTAGACATAAGCAGCGTTGTGTTGAAAGTTTATCATTCCATGCTATTGCGCCTCACCCTACCGTGTAGAACAGGGAAGAGTCTGAAGGATAGGAAGCTACAATTCAATTCTTTGCTCTGGAATCATTACCATTATGTTTGTATAGTGGTATTCTGGTTAGGTGTTTGTTTGTTTCGTGTTTAACGCCACGCAATTAAGCTATTGAGCGGCATGTAAATAATCGAATCAAGACAATCTAGTGACTGACATTATGATCAACGTCCGAAGTTCTTATATCTAAATATTTTATTACCCATATTGCTTTCAAAGTCCCCCCATGAAAAGAAGGAGGGCGTGGAGATGGTTGCGAGGTAACCAAATAATAATTAATAACTCAATAACGCCACGTTGAACAATATTTCAGTCACTCAGGGCGCTGACTTCAAAATTTGCAGAAACAAAGTTGTATGATAAATACCAATGTCGTTTAGTGCATTGTCGTATCCGTGCTGTCATCCCTTATCATGATAAGGAAAATCATTTACGTGTTCGTCCTTCTTGATAACGCTCTTGCAAGTTGTATGTCGGATGCCGTGGAATCGTTAAGCTAACATTTAGTCTTTGAAGTCTTATATTACGCAATACCCTTCTTGACTCTAAAAATTAAATACAAAATTTCCCGATGCTGATGTGGAATAGAGCTAGCTAGAGCTGGCTGGACATGCTTTTGTATATGTTTCTAGATTGTGTATTTTTTCCCCATTAAATAAATATATTTTTCAGTCATGGTGCAGGACTATGGAATCGTCTGTCGCACCAAATGGCTGACGTTCAACGACGTGTGTAGGAAAACATGCTTTATGTATTGGCCAACTCGAAATACCAAATTCTAAAGTTACGGAAAACATTGAAATATTTAGACAACTTGTAGATAACTCGAACTGTATTTCCGATTTGAACTTCAACAGATAATCACACAATCTGATAGTCCATCATCCAAGAGGAACTTTTACCACATTTTATCTCCGTCTTGGTCAAAAGAATTGCTCTCGTTCGAATATTAGAAAAAAACACTTCCTTAAAGACATAATTTGGAAAAGTCAAATTCGCATTAATGTCAACGATTTCCAAACGTGTTTTTCGTTTCTTAAATTATGTAAATACCGTGGGTGCATGTCGTCCCATAACCCCAATCCTTCCCACTGGGTGATCTGAACTTCCGGGTCAGCAATAGGCAAGTTCAAAGCGGCTTGAGAACACCCAAGTCTGTGAGCCAAGCAAACCGATCATTGATAGCATAAGCAACTACTAACTATGTACAATGGCATAATCAGCCATCTGACACATAACCACTCGATTATCAATAGTCGGATCACGTACGCGGGGTAATGGGAACATGACTGTTTAGCAGCAACACGCTAAACAAACATTTAAACAAGAGATTAAACAAATGCAAACTATCGTTGGTAAGCATTGCCATGCTTCGCGCTTATGCATTACATTCGCATCATGCTAATATTGGTGTAAACTGTGTGAGCTCACATTATCTTTTTTCACTGCGCATTTTATTCTTAAGTTGTTATATACACTGGTTATTAATACAACAGGGGACTAACTACTATGAATCATGGCGTCACTGAATACTTGCGAAAGTTGTTCATTGCGTCAAGTGCTCATTGAAATACTAAGGTGCATGTGCTGATGTAGCCCCGCCCCGCCCCGCCAAATATACACATTTCAG